ACACGAAGCGGTCCCACTGGCGCGACTCCGCCCAAATGTCTCAGACACGGGAGAGCAACGGCCAAGGGTAGGAAGACAGGGCGCCAGGAAGTCCTTTCCGGTCACTCTCGCTCCTCTCCCACTCATGCTCCAACAAACACACCAACAAACAAACAGGCGCGCGTCCCGCTTCTCGTTTTCTCTCGCGCGTCTCGTTCTCCGCGATACTTCCGGCGCGTAAGTGGGACGGACGTCGGACGCTTCAAGGCGAGAGAAAATATCCCGATCCCAATTGGCAGCCACTGTGATGTAACCGACGCGCAGGAAGCATGAAACAACGCGACCTAATTGTTTACTGCTGCGATTAGCGAGAGGAGTGATGGATTTCTCCCACGAATTCAATTTATCAAAGTGATGAATGACTGACCCTACGGTCTGTCCTAATGGCTATTTAATAAGCGACGACATTCAGAAGGAAAGCTCATTTCCGAAAGATCATTTCGCTCTGAATTCTTTGAGAGAGGTCGCCCTCAAAAACGGATTATCATTTGGGAAAGGATCCGCGTGGATTCTTTCGTTCCCTACTAATCCCCCCGCAACGAAAAAGGCGGACTTTCTTGGAAACACAAGACCAAATAAAATCAGAGGAAAGGGATTTTTTGCGATCTCATGGACGCGGGAGAAGCGCTGACCTCCGCAGCTCCATCTCGGGCCAAATCCGAACCGTTTTGGGAAGCATTTTTACGTCGTTACTTCGATAAAGCTCCAAATCTAACTCGACCCCTCGACCGAGCATGAGAAATCCGAACTACTTGTATGCATTTGCTTGTGTCTTCTTTATTAGTGGTTTTTGTGCTTTATTGTTTTTGGCGTGTGTGTGTGTGTGTGTGTGTGTGTGTGTGTGTGTGTGTGTGTGTGTGTGTGTGTGTGTGTGTGTGTGTGTGTGTGTGTGTGTGTGTGTGTGTGTGTGCGTGCGTGCGTGCGTGCGTGCGTGCGTGCGTGCGTGCGTGCGTGTGTGTGTGTGTGTGCATATATGTAATATATATACATATATATAGATATGATATACATATATATGTATATATATACATATATATATATATGTATATTTATGTACATATATATATAATATATATAATATATATAATATACATAATATATAATATATATATGATATATATAATATATATATATATATATATATATATATATATATATATATATATATATATATATATATATATGTACATATATATATAATATATATAATATATATAATATACATAATATATAATATATATATGATATATATAATATATATATATATATATATATATATATATATATATATATATATGATATATATAATATATATATATATAACATATATAATACATACAATAATATATATATATATATATATATATATATATATATATATATATATATATATATACATACATATGTATGTAGAAAAGGTATGAATGAGAATGAGTATCTTCACAATACAAGAGATGTATTTGACCGGTTTCGAATAATATCTTCGTCAGAATTTCTGACGAAGATATTATTCGAAACCGGTCAAATACATCTCTTGTATTGTGAAGATACTCATTCTCATTCATACCTTTTCTACATTCGTCGACATGAATACGGTTCATACATATGTATGTATATATGTATACACATATGTGTATATATATACATATACATATACATGTGCGTGTGTGTGTGCGAGCGTGCGTGCGTGCGTGCGTGCGTGCGTGCGTGCGTGTGCGTGTGCGTGTGTGTGTGAGTGCGTGCGTGCGTGCGTGTGCGTGTATGTGCGTCTGTGTGTGTGTGTGTGTGTGTGTGTGTGTGGACATATATATACATATACATACATATA